TTAGTCTGAGGGTCTGAGTTCTAGTTTGGAGCAGTAAAATAATTAGCATGCTTGACAACACGTTTGCTGGTTTTGTAATGTAATGTAATTGTTGTGTAATGTTGCGGAGATTTTTGGAACAATGCGAGCAAGAATATGCTATGGCAGCACTACTAGTTGAAAACGAGTAGTTTTTGCGTGGTTTTTGCTTGAAATTAATGAAATATATACAGGTTTCGCACCGACTATGGGCCACAAGATAAATTGAACGAATATTATGAAAAATAATTGAATTTTAATTATAATTCAGGCGGGGCGCAGGCGCAGTGGGCAGGAGAATCTTTTTCGAAGGATGCAGCCGGCCTCTGTTGTGCGCCCGTGGCGGAGGAGGCGCTGCCATCCGCTGCGCCCCGCATGTGCTGCTTTTCTTTATTTATTCCGTTACTGTACTTATTCCGTTATTGTAGTTTTTTATAGAATAAATAATGGTTGTTCTTATCATGAATGATGTGCCTTCAACCTGGACTTTTTTCTTAAACCTTTTCGTACGGATAATACTAAATGCACTCTCGTATTAGATGAAATAAACGCCATATTGCTCTATTTATTTGTTTTTCAAAACTTACAATTTTTTATTTTCGTTACGTTGTTAATAATTTTTCGAATGGTATGTGGTAATTCACTGTTTGATATGAATTCGGTTTTCGTTTTTTTTTTTTTTTTTTTTTTTTTTTTTTTTTTTTTTTTTTTTTAATTTTGGGGAGTATTGTACATGAAGCACCAAGCACATTTTCAAAATTTTCAAAAAACTGGCTCCACATTTTTTTATTAAATTTTGTTGTTGAATAGTGCAAAGGACGTTTAAAAACATTTTCGTTGACATCACCAATTTCTCGAAAATTTAATTAAAAAATTATATCTTCAAAATTAGAGATTCAGATTTTTTCTCAGACAATATCTGTTGTACAAATTAGTTCTTCAAAACAGGTCAGGTACAATTTTTTGAAAAAGCAGTAGTTTTTGCGTATTTTGCGAATAAAATTTACGCAAAAAATTTCCCCAAATCCCTCAAAAGTTTTTTCTTTCAATTTTCTCCACATAGGTAATATGGTACGGTAAGAAATATAGCACAGGTTTTGCTAGTTTTTTTCGAAAATTGCAACAAACAAAAATTACAAAATTGAAGATTGAGATTTTTGCTTCAGAAAACTCTGTTGTACGAAAAAAAGGGTCATGTACAATTATTTGAAAAAAAGAATGGTTTTTACTTTAATTCCAGTTGAAGTTAATGCACTATATACAGGTTTCATACAAGCTACGGGCCTCGGGAAAATCGAATGAATGATATGAAAAATAATTTTTTTGTATACCAACATTACACACAATCGTTTATCGCATCGAAAATCGTACAGAAACTGCAGGTTTCGTAAAAGAATATCCAGAGCTTTCAGAAAGTGTTGGCGGCTCTTCCGCAGATTCTACAATTGTCCTGGCGATTCGAACCGCATTTGCTGCTGACTCCTCGATGTCTCGTTCTGCATCACTAGCCATGCTTGAACGCCATTCCCATTTTTCACTTCTATCCAAGTTACAAATTTATCATAATCTTTTTCACAATTTTCTGCTGATTTTCTTCTTTGACAACATCATATATTCTATGGCATCATCATAATATTGCCTCTGGTAAATCCATTTCACAACGAACAATAATCACCCGGTCTACCAAGGCCCCCCTATTACAGTCGGCCTTCGCCCGCATCATGTATGTAACATGCCATTCCACTACTTCCAGGCTCAGAAACCATTTTACCCAATTTTATAATGATGTTATATAAAAAATGGCGTATGCAATTCGTTTATAATGTTCCTTTTTTGCGCTCATGAGTATTATCGCATTCACTCCCTCGTCGTTCGTGCGGCTATTCTTATTCTGCAAATAAGAACATCATTATGAACCAATGGCAAAATACTCTAATTTTCATTATTTCATAATTTTCCTACTGTAAATGTCAATATTAATTCAATTTTTGTTTTCTCCCTCTTTTACTATACTTAATTCTACAATTTGTATTGTCAATGTATTGATGTACGAGTACATAAAGTTGCGGTAAAGCGGCTTTCATGATGCCATCATACAGGAGGCAAATAATAAGAGCTGTGTTTAGACCATTATTCATAAAATAAAAATATTGTCCAGCCAAAATTTACAACTGTGGAGTGCAAGCAACACTACCTAGAAACTGTATATCTGTATGATAGTATATCCACGTGATTAATACTTTATTAATTAAATAAGATGGTAGTTATTTACTAGTTAATTTATTCCAGAAGTAATACCCAGGTGATTAATTTGGAATACTCATTAAGTTTAAGCCGTTCTTTCAGCCTTACAAACCACTTTTATCTCTAAGATTATAATCTTGATGAATAACGCGATGACTGTTTGCAACTTATATTTTTCTTCTTAATTATAATATGCACACTAAAACGCCTATTATCTACTTTCAATGCTTACTGATTGTCTTAGTTATTGTTATTTTATTTCTATCTTTGTAATTAAAGACAATCAATTGGATTAATGAATAGAAACACGACACTTCAACGCATAAAATTCCATTAAATGAACTCTTTTTCATGCAATACGTTTCGGGACACACAATCGGTCCCTCTGGTACACATTTCATGTTCACACATGTACACAAGCAAAATAGTGTTGCGTAAACATTCATAAAGGATATATCCATAATGAACATTCATAATACATTCATAAAATTGTTTTAAAAAAACTAACGTACGCACTTGGCAGCCAAAAGATGAACGTTTTAGCGGACTTTCTGCTTACTGGTCTCCGAGCATCTATAAACTGTTTAATTTTCGTTAAGTTCTGTTTAAATTTATAATGTGAAGCGTTTCTTTCAGGGCCTAGAGACATTTCTAATTTCGAAGGATGTGTATGATTGACTGGATTACGCGGCGCCGGTATTGCCGAATTTTCTTTTAATTATTAATTTTAATGCCAACATAAAAAAGGACTATTATTATCACTTATTAATGTTTATTAATTATATTGGTTGTTATTTGTAATTTTCGTATCTTTTAATTAAGACAATCATTTTGATTAGATCTAGATCAGGAACACGTAAACTGAAAACATGTATAGCAATGTAAATTCCATGGTCACCGCACTTCGATCACCTGTGTAATTTCTTCAATATGGCATCTCTTGCCAGCCGCACTCAAACGTTCAGTCATCGTACATTTTTTATAAACTTCTGGTTCTTTTCGCGCAATATTGCGGCAATGTATTTGCAAGTTTTAAAAATTACGAAAACAGATTTTCTTGACAACGGCGTCCCAATTTTTTTTCTTTAATCTGTTGATAGGATAGTGCAAATGTCTCAAGACATAATTGCCAATAATTGCACAATTGGTTTTGTTTTTCAAAACTTATCAAAGATTTAATTTTTTGACATGCCTCTCATTAATATGTTTACTTAGCGGGAATTTGTTACATTAATTGTATTATGGGAAGATAATGCTTTAAAATAATGCCAATTTTTTCAAAAAATTCAACAGTTTTCTGAGAACAATTTACGGAATCCTCATTCTTCGGAATCGCTTCAAAACGCCATTTTCTCACGAACAGCTTCAAATTTTGTCTTCAAACTTTTTAAAGGTGTATGGTGCTAATTGCGCGATAAAAATGACATTATGTTTATTTTTGGTTGTAGTAATTTTGTTTTATCAAAAAAAATACACAAACGTTTTCAATGGTAGTGCTATATTGCAGCTCTTACAAGATTGACATTAAGTTCATTTTGCTGTATTTATTTTGTTTTATTAAATTATTACAAACGTACTTTTTAAAAATATATTTTTACGCCCGTTAAATATGCACATTTCCAGCGATTTGAAAACGCTATTGCATTTGTGAATTAATGTGCCTGAAATGACTTGAAATAAAGTTTTTCAAAAACTCAAAAAATTTCTGAGAAAAAGAACTTCACAGTAACACTAGAACCACAGAAATTTGTACAATAACACATGAACGCCATTTTCTTAAAACCGGCTCTAAATGTTTCCATTAAAATTGTCATTTATTACGAAAGTTTACTCTTATTTAATATTCTTAAAGTAATATTTCGGTTCTACTGTTAGGAAAACAAAAAGTTGAGAAAAGAACAAAAAATGTACTTAAAGCGGTGATCTATGGCAAGATGGGACTAGACCGTAAAGCCAGTCCACACTAAGGAAATTAGAAAACTTTACTGCGGGAAAGTCTGTGCCATTCTGTGACACCACTAGTTTCTCTATGTATCAACCGAATTTATCCACTGTTTCGTTACCATGGTCCCGTATGAGTCTTTCTACCGAAAATTCACCGGCATTTTGGCGCACCATTACTTAACTTTCTCTCTACTACGTAAGCTCTAGCGATTGGAGAGCATATCGAAGCCCACTTCTTTCCTCTGGATGCAAAAAAGTTTTACATCATGTCCTTTTTTTATAATGTACATTATTCAACCAGCGGATTTAAAGGACGTTTAAGGTCTAAGTCTTTGATAACGAAAATGCAGAATCACCTTTTCATATTTGTAGTTTTTCGGCCTTTGTATTCTAGCCTACCCATTTGACTTGTGCATGATTATAAATAATAAAACTATAGCGCTTTCGCTATTCAATTTAGTATAGGTAGAACAACTTTGCAAATAAAATCATACTTTGCATTATTGTTGAGTGGTCAGCTTCTGTCATAATGAATTCATTTCCAACATCTTGTATGTGTATTTCAAAATGGGTCTCTTCATTATCAATCAATTGCCTTTCTTTTGTTTTTCTTGATGTAGTATTGATTGAGTGCCATTAACACGTTTTGTATATAGTGGTAATGTTGACGTGTGGTCTGTTGTAGCCATCTTATTGATGTATTCCGAGTAACATTGAAAGGATTGAAACGACCACATACACTTCAAAAAACGATTTCAATGATGGTTAATTGTTTGTATGATTTACCTTTTCAGGTACGTGGTCTGGCAGGAGGATACATCTTTGCTTCATTCAACCTGGCACTGTTTGCAGCAACCAAAGTGTTTCCTAGTGTAACTTCAGAAATTGGGGCTCACGGGGTCTTTTGGGTATTTGGAATCGCTTCATTAACTGGAACTGTTTTTATTTACCTAGCACTGCCTGAGACAAAAGGTCAAAGCCTTGCACAAATTGAAGATTATTTTCGGGGTAAAAACTTTCTTTGGGTGACACGTCACAAATATCGAAGTCCTGAAGCACCTAAAGTGTAATAGAATATAATTTAAAAATTTCCTTCATTCTTATTTATTTGTCCATGATGTTAATATCTGAAGACTGCTCCATTCAAATGAAACCAAAATTAAGAAATATACAGGCAATTTTTTTAAATTCTAAAATCCTTGTTCACTTCAAACAAGATCAACTGAATAAACACTAATCTCTTGTTGAGTACCTACAAATGAATCTCTTACATATGAAAATGAATAGTCACTTCATGAAAATGATGTGTACAATATTGACCCTGAACATAACTAGCCCTCATTTGTCATTTTTTAAAGCTCTGTTGCAGTATGTTGGTTAAATTTACTCATACAGTGTTATGCACATTAAAAAGACATGCATGCATATATCATGCATATTGTTTGCATGTGTTCAGATTTATATACATTCATTTTCTTGGTTTTATCACCATGCCATTAATCAAGAATGTAGAGCAACTGTATTTCTACAGGATTTCAAGAGTACTGAGAGACAAATTACAAAATCTGGAAATTAATTTTTTGACCCTGGTGAATAAGCTGATAAGTCTTGCATGCTTAAATTTTTCAGAATACACCCCCCCCCAAAAAAAAACAACTTTCTTGTGATGCTAAAAATCAGAAATTAATTATTTCAAACCAAACCTACACACAAATAGTTTAGTTTGAATATCAGCTTCATTTGTATATCATTAACCCCTAATTTACTTCAGTTGAAAGATGTTTTTTTCTCTCCTGTAAACTTCAAGCATTCATGAGTTATCAGCTTATTCACCAGGGTCAAAGAATTAATTGTTGTAAAGTATTTTTAATGTGCATTTATTTAAAGTTCCTTTTTTGTTTACATTGAAGTAAACTATTTGCAAAGTAATCGAAAGCTGATTCAGCATCAAATTTTTGAAGAAGATCCTAAATGAAAGCATGATTATATATTCCAAAGAAAGAATTGGGTACTTTGCATTAATTTCCAGTAAACTGATATGGTCAGTTAGCATGTCTAGACAGAGTAATCTGATCTCTTATTGTGTGAATGTATTTTTATCAAAGCACTAAAAAATGCTATTTAATTTATATCTGTTTTTAGTTTTAGTACATCATCTTTTGAAAGAGTTTAAGTATTGACTTTCCAAGCTGCCTTTAAAGAAATATTGTGACCCACCTAGTAAGTAAAAGGTTGGGAACAAAAGGAAAAGAAAAACAAAAAAACAAACAAAAGAAAAACAAAAAACAATTCACTATTTTTGTATTGGCAATTTTCTTTGTGAAACATTTTTATTTCTGTATTTGTGAAAGATATATGTAAATATATTTCAGAAGATTATATAATTTTTGGTACATAATATCATAATAAAATTCAAAGTAAATATAACAAAAAATAAATTAAATCAATTGATTGCACAAAAAACACAAGAAATTACAACAATAATTATGAGGAAGCATAAAAAAGTATTGAACTCTCATATTTTGTGGTAACAACAAAACAAAGTGCCTTGACACTTTTAAATGAATTAATAAATAGTTAAATGAAAAAGTAAATTAAAAACTTTGATTTGATTTATCGCATCAACTGCATAGAGTTATTAGCAACTACCTTAATAATACACAATCTGTACAAAATAACACAGTAACTTAGAATTTTACATATATGGTTATATATTGTTATACATTTCAATTTCCTTTACAAAGCAAATGAATTTAATGCACTATTCTTTGTTATTGTGATCTTTAAGAGAACTTAGTTCGTACTTGTTTCTTGCACTTTCATATTCACGGCAAACAAACAAATGTTCTACTGAAAGAGGAATATTGTACACACTACAGTTATCAGCATCCGTTCTGTTCAATAAGTAGTCGTGTGAAAATTTTGTGTGTCCTATTCCACATCTTAAGACGACCTGATCATTTCTGCAGAAACTGACCGTTGGATTATCATCCTCAAGTTTCATAACTGATCTTAATTTGCAACCCTGTAAGTTGTTCCTGACTCTTTTGAGGTATTCTTGATAGCTTACTGGTATATCACTTCTAACTTCGCTTCGCGCTGCTTCTTTAGCTTTTCTATCTGCCAATTCATTTTCTGCAATGCCAACGTGCGAGGGTATCCAGCACAACGCTATTTCGTTACCCTCAGTGTTCAACTGGTTGATTTTTTCAACTATTTCTTCGACCAATATCATCACCAATTATCAATGGATAGATTCATTATAGCAGATACTGCACTTTTAGAGTCTGTTATTATCATCATTTGATGATACACGCATCTTAGCCAGAGAAGACCACTGGGGCACGAGGAGGGTAAAAGAGGCGGTGGAAATCATCAAACACCTCTATAACTTCAATGCTGACCAAGGCATACGTCTACACGATGCCTGGAAACACCTATTTTACAAGGACGTCCGATCTCGACCGGACGCGGTCCTAGCTGTTCCACAACGTCCGATTACGGACGGAGCGCCTCCTCTCACCTTGCGGAGAGCCCGCCCCTGATTGGCCGGTGCTCTCTCCGCATTGGCCGACTACCCGGCCAACCGGCACTGGGGTAGAGGAGAAACTGAGCCCCATTTAAACTCGTGCGCATCTCATCTTCGCGCAATACGCCCTGAGGAAGGCCGCAGAATGGCGACCGAAACGTCGGCACCTTCGCCATGGACGCGGCGTCCCACGGACAGCCTAGTCAATACTGACTCCGGCCGCGGAAGCCTACGCTCTCATAATAAATCTGCTTCACACAAAACCTGCTCATTGTTGAGCTGGTCTTGAAAGAACTACACGCTAGTCTTGCTCCCGTATTATTGATAGGATCTAACATTCTCTTGATGTTCTTCTTGACCGCATCATACAACCATAGTCCAATTTTGATCTGACGATTGCCTGATAAGTTCTCCTTATAATCGTATAGTCCGCTCCCCATGATGTATGGCTAATGACTTTGACAAGGCTCATTCTTTTGGTGCACTCATTCTTTAAATTCTTGATATGCGGACTCCATGTCATCTTTTCGTCTAAAATCATTCATAAGATTTTAATTGCCTTACTCTGTACCAACGTATGCTGACCTAATTTTAGTCAATGTTTCTTCCATGAGATCGTTTCCTAGAAAAAACTATGAAAGTGGATTTTATCTTGGAAATCTTGAGCCCGGTTTTCCTTGAAAATTCCATGACTGCATCTAAGTTTTGAGCCTTTTCTTCTAATGATGTAATATCTTTGCCAGTTATGCTAATATTGCTATCATCCGCATACATATTGATGATGACTGGAAGTTTAATATTGTTCTGGAGGTCATTAATAATAAGTAAAAATAGAGTAACAGTAAGTACTCACCCCTGTGGGACGCCATTCATAACTTAATAACTGTCCGACAGGATTCCATTTATCTTGATAAAACGTTCTTTGCGTCGCCTGTATCCACTTTCGAAATGATGTGTCAGTCTCTCCAGACCTGTTTGAAACCATTCTTCCGGAGTGCTGCGTACCCATGCCTTGGCAGCTGTGTGCAGTTCTTCAAAATCCGAAGAACATCGATCATGCAGAGGCTTCATGTTCCCGAATAAGTGATAATCACTCGGTGCCACGTCTGGAGAGTACGGTGGGTGTGCAGCACCCTGAACCCCATTTGATCCATGTCAGGGTGGTCTCTCGGCTAGTGTGGGGATGTGCATTTTCGTGTTGTAGAAGCGCCCTTTAGCCCATTTTCCTGGCGGCTTAGTTTGAATGGCACGACGTAAGCACTTAAGGGTTACCACATATACCGCACTGTTAATTGTGGCCTTTAATTCCAGCCAGTCAATGAGGTTGCCATTTGTGTCCCAGAAGCCTGTCGCCCTGCGCCTGCCAACCGATGGCACTGTTCGACATTTCTTTGGCGATGGACTGCCCCTTTGCTTCCATTGAATCATTTATTTTTTGTTTGTGGTTCATGGTAATGAAACCGTCTCATCACCAGTCACAAACCTTGCCACGAAGTCGGCTGGATCTTGATTATGGCGTCGCAAACGTTCTCTGCACACGTTTCCTACCTTCCTCCCAGTTGTAAACTGACTTCTGCGGCGGCTCATGTTCCCCACAGCAAGCCTCGAATCGCCGATGAATTTCTGCAGTGGTTACGCCTTCTTTCCATGCAACTGAGCAATATAGCGCCATCCCTGACGATTGCTTTCCATGTTGTCTGCTTCTACGCTCGCAGTGTTGACGTGCTATGACGTGTGCATTCGTTGACCCCTGTGCGTGTGCTGCTACCAAACGGTGGAACAAATCACTATTAATACGTCACCTTTTTCAGAAGTAAAATGTGAACCGCACCCGGACGAACAAAAAATAAAATGTGAAACAATATGCCCCCTTCGTAATTCTACCGTCTTTCTTAGGCTGGTCTCTTGGTCGCAATTTACAACTATTGCGACAAAGTCGATTCAAGAGTTTTACGTATTTGCCTTCTTTGACAAAGGAGTATTTAAAACCGATGTTTGTTTTAAGTGGTTTAACGAAGTTTTAAGCGGTTCTAAAGCTCTTTGGATATCATTTTCTTCAGTGAAATATACACGCTGACCATCTTGAAGATGCACTGCAACATGCTGTACAGGTGGATCTAGATCGAGGATGGAAAATCTAAAAGTACGCCAGATAGCTTCGTTACTGCTGATGTATCTGCCCATCTGATATTGTGTTATTTCATCAATTTTATTAATATCTCGCACTTCAAACATGGCCAAATCACAGCCTTTAGTTACGTATTTACAAATGAATTTAATAAATATTCAATAAAATTTTTAAAAAAATTAAATGTGCAATAAATATTTTTTTTAATATTAACAACAGATTTCTGGTAACATTTGACAACACTCCTTTAAAAAAATCAGGAATATTTAATATACTTTAACCGCTAGCTTTTCCCTTTTTGTGGTAATAATAAAAATATAAAAAAAGGCCTTTACGTTTTAGATAGGAAAAAGGTAAAGGTAAAGATAGGTAAAGATTAGTAAGGTATGTTGAGGTGAGTTGAGTTCAATTTGGGGGCATGTGAGATAAGTAGTACTTAGCTCTTGCTTTCATAGTTTATTACGAAAACAACTCGGGGTTTTTTTTTCTTCAAAGCTATACATGACCGATGATCTTTTTTAAGAGCTTATTTCGTACAACAGACTTGCCTGAGCAAATGTATATTTTTCATTTTTGTAGTAGTAAATTGCAGTACCGAAAAGAATCTACGCCAATATTTCTTACGTTTCTTAATTTAATACGTGAAGAATTTAAAGAAAATTCGGAGCTCTTTTTTACGGATTATATAATTAAAATCGGCAAATTACGCAAAAACTACTCGTTTTTTCATATTGTTACTTAACTTCTTTTATTCGATATCACTGGACACTAACCGCACTGGCGGCTTCTCTTGTCCTGGTGGTCAGTTATGAACGCGACCCTTCAGCCCGAAGCGATGTGAGTTGGTTACTCGGTCTTAGCCACGACGCATCGAGGCCGTCAAAGCAGTGTTACAAATCATATTTTATTTCCAACGAATATTTCCGAAGGAGAAAGAGGTCTCCGCTGCAGTGGAACTGTATTTATCTCGGGGCGGCACTAGAGGCTCCGCTTTACATAACCTTTATGAAAGAATATATTCGAATAAAAGTCGCAATTGAGCTCAAGAACAATACAAAAACATTTGGAATGCCTGTTGAAGTATCATTAAAAACGCGTTATCAGACGTAAAACTGCTAAACACTACCATTTATAAGTTTAGCCACCATTTTAACAGAACGTCTAACGAATACTTTCAAGGAAAGAAAAAAAGCGTATCTTCTCGATTTGGGGACATGTGATTCGGGAAATGTTGCAATATTGTTTCTAGCCTTTTAATAACTGACGGTCAGACTGGAATGCGCAGGAGACAGCGGAAGGGGGAAAGAACGGAACCAAGCGGACGGCAGTTGATGGTATGGTATACACACATAAAAAAAAGGGATTAATTTCTGGATTTCACCAGCCTTCCAAAAGATTGAGAATGGATCTTTTCCCGTATTAATTTTAACAATTCATTGTTTGAAGCGCGGACGGGGTGCCAGCCCTACATATTGACTCTCCAAATTGCTGTCTATGTCAACTGACAATAAACATTTCCTTGTAGACGTTATATTTTTTTTTTAATAATTGATGTTCGAATTACTGTGTTTCAGTTATTGAACGGCAATAAATTTAAAAATAGTGTGAGAGCAAATATAGCAAAAACCGTTAAATAAACTCTTTACACACGTTCAGTGTTCAAGGAGCATTTAGACTTTAATTTCGCTTAGGTACCATATCTTTTCCTCGATTCTCCGTAAAACTTGGAAATTAAAAGAGAAGCCCAACGACAAACGACGGACAAGAACAAAAACGACAAGGTACGAGCGGAGCGAGAGCGATGAACGGTGACTGACGACCAATAAAAAGGATTATTTCTGGGGATTCATCAGCCGTCAAAAGAATTGGTAACGGATCCACACGAGTCTCTACGTATCTAATTTTTAATAAATCTTTGTTTCCACGCGCGTACCTATTCTATGGCTCTCAAGAAATACCGCTTACGTCTACTTGCAATCCTTTCCGTTTAACCAGAATACTTTTGTTTAATATTTTCTTCATACATTTTCTCTGTTTTAATTAATTAAACGCGGATAATATTAAAAAGAGTATAGTACGCCATATTTTCGCCGGCAACCATATGGAAAAGAAAAAAGAAGAGAAGTTCAATGGAACAAAGATGTGGTACAGAAATCGCTGTTACGCGGCTTAAATAACACTCCTTACGAAGTGATCGAGAACTTTAAAAATTGAAACGTGTTTTTCACTAAACTAACATTTGTCTATGTCAGGAAAACCCCTAAATATAAAGTACCGGGCCCAACCGTAG